GATGGTTGTGTGAGCCATCACACGGGTGCTGAGGGCTGCGTCTGGAGTCCCCATTACAGATGGTTGTGTGAGCCATCACACGGGTGCTGAGGGCTGCGTCTGGAGTCCCCATTACAGATGGTTGTGTGAGCCATCACACGGGTGCTGAGGGCTGCGTCTGGAGTCCCCATTACAGATGGTTGTGTGAGCCATCACACGGGTGCTGAGGGCTGCGTCTGGAGTCCCCATTACAGATGGTTGTGTGAGCCATCACACGGGTGCTGAGGGCTGCGTCTGGAGTCTCTGGGAGAGCAGCCAGTGGAACCGACATTACAGATAGTTGTGTGAACCATCACACGGGTGCTGAAGGCTGCATCTGGAGTCTCTGGGAGAGCAGCCAGTGCTCTGACCACTGAGCCAGCCCTTCATCCTTGCTTTGAATCAGGGACCTCATCAGTGACAGCGTGTGCACTATACTGTAGACATTTTACACATGCATGCATGGATGAACCTTTTTTGTTTTTTTTTTTTTTAAGTTTTTCAAGACAGGGTTTCTCTGTGGCTTTGGGGGCTGTCCTGGAACTAGCTCTTGTAGACCAGGCTGGTCTTGAACTCAGAGATCCGCCTGCCTCTGCCTCCCAAGTGCTGGGATTAAAGGGGCCTGTGCCACCACGGCCCAGCTTGTGTATGAACTTTTGATCTGAAAATATCATTACATTGGAAAACCTGGAGAGTATTGTTGGCCTCAGGTGAGAGGCTGAGACTGTGTGTACCCACTGCTTCATAGCCTCATCTGTGTGAGGCAGGAGGCAAAGGCAGTTCCTAGCACCTTAAGAAATCGGTGCCCAGAGCTGCTGCAGTTGCCAGCGGCATTCTTTATTGTCCAGATCCCGGGCTTCATACAGACCTGGTCTGGGCTGCATACACCTTGAAGTCAGGTCCACAGCTCACAGCGATGTTGCCACTGCGGGAGTTGGGCTCAGCCCTTGACTGTGCTGAGATACTCTTCCAATCTGTGCCGTTAGTAGTCCTGCGCTTACAACTATCTTGCATCCCAACCAGGCTTGAGGCCATTTGGTGGTTTTTTAGAGTACTTCTGTAACTGCTTCTGAAGTTCTTATTAAGCTGATAATGCCTTATCTCTAAAGGTCTTTAACCAGGCCGTAGCCCTTTATGAGCAGGAGAGACCGGAAGATGACATTGTGGTCATGAGACTGTTCTCTTACAGGCTCATAGCAGCCCACAAAGGCCGGCCACACTGGCTAAGAGGAAAGCGTGCACTGCAGTGGTGACTGTGGGGAGCAGCACACACACCAAGACTGGCCCCACAGTTAGAGTGTGACCCAGAAAAGGCTGGACTGTGACAGTCAGCATGAAGGCATGAGCCTAAAGGCCAGCAGAGGAGTGAGAACAAAACCTGGAAGCTGTGTGCTCCTTTCCTGCCATAGTTTAGTGGTTCTCTTGCAGACATGCTAACACCCCTTTTTCCAGTGACAGAAAGAAAAAGCAAACCCTCAAAGTTGAGACTTTCCTAAGACTCGCTATTCTACTTTATAGAATACAAGAACATTTGTGGTTAAGGAATAGTATGTTAATTCCTTATGTGATATCTAATTTGAATCACCCTACAAGTTAAAGTTGTAATGATTTGCATTTTGTTATATGGCTTTTTTTCTTCTTCTTCTGGTTTTTTGAGACAAGGTTTCTCTGTGTAGCCCTGGCTGTCCTGGAACTCATTCTGTAGACCAGGCTGACCTCAGACTCATGGGAGGCAGCCTCCCGTGCTGGGATTAAAGGCGTGTGCCACCACTGCCTGGCTTGTTACAGGATCTTATAGGGCCTATATCCAAGCATGGTGGCAAACACATGTATCCTAGCACCTGAGGTGAGGCAGGAGGATTCAGGAATTCAAGGTCACCCTTGCTTACATAGTGAGTTCAAGACCATCTTGGGGCACGTGAGACCCTGTCTCAAAACAACCAAACACGAGTTGATATCCTGTTGCTTCCTGAGACAGGGTTGTGCAGGTTTTAGCATTGTGCCATTTCTGATTTTGCAGTATTTTGATGTGCAGTTGCCTGTCCTTTCCTGCTGCTGTTTGTTTGACTGTTTCATGTAAAGGCTTTCCTCCGAAAGACTCTCAAAGCCAGTTGGAGGCTGTGTTGGGGGTGGGACCTGCTGTGTGGTCTCCGCTGCTGGTGTGAGTTGAGGCCTTTGTCTGTCATCTAGCTCCACAGCCTCCTGTCGCTGTGGCTTCTGGGCTCCAGCCTCCTGAATATTCCTTTTACATTCTGAAGCCTCCTGCTGGTGCCCTTATCCACACTACCCTGTGAAAATGGAATCCCCTGGTGCAGGCTTTCTTCTTGCATGGCCAGAACAGTACCACTCCCTCAGGGAGCTGCCTCCTGCCGTGGAGTCCAGCATTTTCCCACTCAACACTCATATGCTTCCAACACCACAGCCTACCTATGCTGCCCTGCTTCTCTGCCTTTCCAGAGCTGCCTTCTTGGAGGAGGTGTCCTTTCCTCAGCCCTTTCATTCATTCTGAAGACCAGATGTTCTCTGGTTTCTCCTCAACCGTACAGTGTAAGAGGAGGACCAGTTCCCAAAAAGTTGCCTTCCAATCTCTACATACACAACGTGGCACATCGGAGCTCAGTCACAGACACACAGTAAATAAACATATGTAAGCATTTGGAACTCAAGTTGAGGAGGTTACCTTCTTTGCTCTGAGCTGTCCTTTCTTCACCTGCTTTGCTATCCTCTCCTCAGAACAGCTTCTGAAGGGGAGTTTCTTGTGGTTCAGTGTTAGGTTCCCTTTTCCCTAGGGGATCTTTACCCAGTGTTGGGACTTAGAACACTCCTGTGCGGGAGGAAGCTTCAAATGTGTGTGGTCAACCTGCTTTCTGTGGGCTCCAGGGCTCTGAAGGAAGCAGCTACCTATCTTAGGTTCCCCAGGTGGCTCAGTTTTGGCTTCTCACACATGTTTCTTTCTATACCATCCTCATTCGAGTCAGTGGTGCCATCTGACACTAGGCCATGAGTCTAAGACCCCAACTGACCTTTCAGTTTCTATACCGTCCTTATGCATCCAAGACCTGAGAGTGGCCTTTGAGTTTCTGTACCATCCTCATGCTAATCAGTGGTGCCATCTGACACTAGGCCATTCGTCTGAGACCCCCACCACCACCTTCCAGTCTTCCCATCATGTCTGCATCCAGTTGGATTCTTAGGAGAACCTGCTGTCTCACTCCAGATACTCTTAGGACTGCCCCCTGCCGCCAGCCCCCATACCCAGCCCTATCTGCTATCACTCCCTAGTTTTTGGAGGGTGGGTCATGTTCTGAACTGGTTTTTCCCACTTCTGCCTCACCATTCTGACTTTAGGGTCAGACTTCTTTGCTTCTCATTTTGTTAGGGTCAAATATGGATACCTCACTGTGACATACTGAGTTCTGCCATGTGAGGACCGTCTGGCATTTGGCCATTTTCCTGCATTACCGTTGTACTTTATGGAGTTCCTTGGGCTGTTTTGTGCCCCTGGTGGGTATTAGGACTCATTAGTGCCTTGACATACCCTCACCCTACCCTGAGCATGTGCAGTGCCAGCTCCCAACCTAAATTGTCCTTTTATGTGGCAGGCTCTTGTTCTATAGCCCGGTCTGGCCTGGCCTTAGAGCACTGGGATGACAGGGACACTGAAGATGGCCCCTCAGTGCCGCTTACAGTGCCTGTTGTCTCCATACTACAGCCTTTTTGGCTGTTGAGGCCACCATCCCCAGGAAGGCACGGACCAGGCTTTATGTTCTAGGGTTAAGAGTCGGGTCTGTCGTTAGCTAGCACAATCCCTGGAGACTAATCATTTCACTGGAAGAGTCTTAGAAAGAGTCAGATGGTTTTAAATCTTAAGACTGTTAAGTTTCACTGGAAGTTGGTGGCGCACGCCTTTAATCCCAGCACTTGGGAGGCAGAGGCAGGAGAATCTCTGAGTTCGAGGCCAGCCTGGTCTGTAGAGCGAGTGCCAGGACAGCCAGGGCTACACAGAGAAACCCTGTCTGGAAAAACAAAAACAAAACAAAAGACTATTAAGTTTCATGGCTTTGTTAGACAGGCTGGTGTGTGCACATGATTTGTGAAACCAAAAGCCTTGAACTTGACAGCATTAAAGCTGCTAGTTTTCTGTACTTATGTGAGTTTTGTAAATATTCGTATTCTTATACTGACTTAGAAGAACAGAGACTAACTCCTAGTAATGCTATTTGGCTAGGCATGGTGGCACAGGCCTATAATCCCAGGACTCAGAAGACTGAGGCATGCCAGTTGTAAGTTTGAAGCCAGTCTGGGTTACATGGCAAAGCGGTCTCCAAGAAGACAAATAAGCCTGCGAAGTTTCAGCCTACCGACTTTATATAGAGAGTGAACAGTCCAGAACCCCTAGTGTATATCCAGCTTATATACTTCTTTGGATGTGTAGGATTTGTTGCTGGTGGTACTGTTTTAATTTTGCTAGTAACTATACTGTGCTCTTTTACCTACTGGCTACCATTTATGTCCTAGGCAACATCTAGATTAAGAGAGAGAGGCTGTGATGGACGCCTGGCAGGAATTGAAGTCCAACAACTCTTTTGTTCTCAAAGTGCAGCGATTCCTGAGCACCAGCTAAAAGAGCTGAACATAAAAATTGACAGTGCTTTGCAGGTGAGTGTTTCAATACTGATGTTGGACCAGTCAAGAAGGTAACCAAGTAATAGTAACTAGAAAAATTTAAGCACAGTGTTCTTACTCTGTGAGAATCTCATGTGTGCACACAGTGTATTTTGGTCACACTTACCCACCTGTCCTTCCCTAGCCCTTCCATAGCTGTAGAAATGTTAAGTTCCCGTTTTTGTTGGGCTCTGTCATATTCTAATATGCTGCTTATCTTGATTCTTGCAGGCATATAAAATAGCGTTGGAAAGCTTAGGCCACTGTGAATTTCCAATGAAAGCTGGCTTCCACTTGAACCCAAAGGCCATTGAAGCAAGTTTGCAGGTACACTCTTGTCTCTAGTTGAGACAGATGCTTTGTCCTGTGAGCTGTGGGTCACCTCCACTCTCCTCTCCCAACCTTTTCCAGGGCTGCTGCAGTGAGGCGGAGGCTCAGCAGACGGGGCGAAGACAGACACCCCCGCAGCCCATGCAGTGTGAGCTCCCCACTGTCCCTGTGCAGATAGGACCGCACTTCCTGAAGGGGGTCTCCTTCAACGAGTCGGCTGCTGACAATCTGAAGCTGAAGACGGTAGCTTCCCATGGGTTGCTGGGGTTCCAGCAACTGAGCATCAGCTTAATAGAACTGTTACAGGGAACTTCAGGGCTTTTGAAGCACATAGCTTAAAAACACACTGGAGCTCAAGGAAGGGAGCTCTAACTTTTCTGATTTCAGTGCTGACCAAATGCAGCCTGTGGTGTATCTTTTGTGAGTGTATGATGCTAGGGGTTGAACCAGGGCCTCACACATGCATAGCAAGAAGT